TCGGTCAGATTAAACAAACAAGATATAATTGCGCTAATTAGTGAGCATTAGAGCTGCTGGTTGTTAAATTTTGTAACCGTCAGACAGAGCTAGGCTAGTTTTCCTGCTTCCACTCTTTGTGCTAAGCTATGCTAAACGTCTCCTGGATGTAGCTACATAAATTGCTATAAAATGACTTTTTTATTTACCATTGCAACACAATCCAAAAAGGCAATATTGTCATACTGAGCTTTTATATAAGATCATTGTGTCCATTGTTTAGATGCAAAGTTCAGACTGCAGAGCTGTTTGACTCCGAGCCTCTTTGGATTCCAGACAGATTTACTCTTCCCGCAGTCCGTCCTGACTCCGCCCTCTCCTTCCCTGAGAGGCCAAGTCCTATAGTTTGAGTTTCTACCCAGGCTATCCCATGATTCTCCCTGACAGCTGAAGCGTCAACCCCTTGACACTGACGGGAATTTATAGTCAGGACGCACAGTAGCTCTGGGGAGAGAACACACGCTCTGGGGCGCAGCGGGGACACGACTCCATCCGTCTCGAAAATGTGTACGTTTCATTGCAGATCAGTGAATGAGGCCAATTATAGTTTGAAGTCGGGGCTTAATTTCATATTCTGCTATAAGCCATTTGGAGCATCATCATTTTTCATTCATCACCATTTGTCACTTTTCCTTTGCACTGTGACTAATTTGTTTGCATGGAAATGATGAAGAGGCAGTGACAGGGAATGCAGCACTAGTTTTGTTTTTGTTTTATGGTTACTATGGGATGCAGAATCTGTCTTTCCTGATAAACGGTACACCGAAACCAACACCTTTCACTCCGAAGAACCACATTCACACACACACACACACACACACACACACACACACACTCCCTCCGCTATATTGTACATATAATTTCTGCTGCATGACAAGCTCATAAACAGAAATCCAGTAGTGAAAGCTATATTGCTTCCCATAAGAATAAATCACCTCTGAATAAAAAACAAAAACAAAACAAATGACATCTGACTACAGACTTCAAATATTTTACTAGAGTATATTCATCATTTTTATAAGGTTTCTATGGGTATGATTAATTATATATTATTAATGCTGAATTAATGAGGGTCTCTGCTGTAACTACAGTATCAGCCTCCTTCTGAAAATAGAATATACATCCTTAATCTGCAGGATTAGCAGTGAGGAAATACTTTTTGGACATGAACATATTGCCTACATAACACTAATCAGGGTCAAATGATAATTGTAGAGCACTGTCTGACATTTCCATACCAATATGTGTAATTTGCTGGTCTTTATAATCATTTCACATAACATAGTACTTAATTTTCATCAGCAGAAATTCCAAGCAGAAACAGAAATACAATAGGCCACATTTTGATGTAGCAGATAAAGCACGGGTGTAATTAATAACAGTCAAGCATCAGCAGAGCTGGGGCGTACAAAGTGAAGGACACTGGAGACTGGGGTTTTATTACACATGCAGTTAGGTTTACGCTACTAAAACACATGGGATACGCTTTGGGGGAAATGTGGTGGTTTGGCCAAATACTGTAAAAATTCACATCCTCTCTCATACTTAAAATCAGTGTGTTGACTTTTTTTTTTTTTTTTACAATATAACTGAGACATCAAACCTCCCCCTATCTTTACCAAAAACTTTAATAATGATTTAGCTGCTTTAAGCTGATATTGTAGGAAAAGGAATTAAAACATCAGTGATTGTTTTTCCAAATATGTTCAATGTGAGACTTTCCCCCTGATAGAAGAAAATCCTGGAGGCTCTCTGTTTCTTTGGTGCATGCTGCCTCACTGGCATTTAATGGCACACACCTGTTACACCTGTGCTTTACCTGCTGTAAAAAGTCTAATGGTTTCATAAAAAAAAAAAAAGATCCATATTGAGAGTACTGTTTGACTGACATGAATGTCAGTAATAAAAAAAAAAAGTAGCTGCACAGGTGGAACTAATAACATTAAAGGAGGTATTTTTAAGTTATGCTATTGCTACATAGCCAAAGTTAGCATTAACAGCTGTTTAGTTGCCAGTCATGCTAAGAGCTTCGGCCATCATTGTATTTACAAGACAAGAGGTTATAATACGTCCTCTGAGCAGCGTTAATTCTTCAGGGCAGCCTGGACGCTGCAGTGCCTCAGTATCTGAAAGTGACGAGTCACTCTTAACCCAGCTAGAGTTGGCTGGTTAGCATGCTAATTTCAGTAGCTAGAAGAAAATAAGTGATAGTATTAGAAGCTAAACAAGCTGGAGACGGCTGTTGGCAAGTCAAAGAATGAAGTTTGATGCTGAACTCGTAAAATTTCTTCTACACTGGTGAGTAAACAGCTGTTACTGCTAATGTTAGCTTTGTAGTGATAGTAAAAGCCTCACATACAGCTCCCCGTGTAGCTCCAGTGTGCTCTTGAATAGGTTCACATAAGCGGAAGGCAGACATCGTTAGTGATATTAGCTCCACCTGTGTTCAACAAGACAACATGTCTACTGTAAAACAAAGTCTACATAACTGAGTTGTGAAAAATAACCAACAATGAATGTGAATCACACATCTTCAAAAATTAATTATATGTCACACAATATCTGACTTGGAGTCTTCTCGTTTATTTCAAGACTGTTAAAAGTAGGAGCTTGAAATGAAAAGTTTTTTCCGCTCGGCTGCTTTTAAAAAGTCTGTACAAAATGATGGGGAAGAGGCATAACTGACAATTTACAGTCACGTATATGTAAATGAGATACTGTGTTGTCTTGTAGTAGCTCAGACACCCTGACAAATGATGAAAAGCACCCGTGACTCTCAGCCTTCCATAACAATGTAACAGTAGCCGGGGGTGGGGAGGGACATCCATAGGGTAAAAGTAAAACCCCACTGATTGTGCAAAAGCATGCCGTAGTGCACACCGCTCATAGCTTAAGCTTGTGAGTGTCTCTCCCCCTCGACATCCCTCTCTTAATTTCACTGATTCATTAGTCGCTCTTTTGTATTTCCACCAGCGAATAAACTCGACAGACATCAGGTTTTGAAAAGACGGTGTGTTTGCCTTTCTGTGTCTGAAGCTCGCGTCATTTCATAACACAAGGTCGTGCGGCCATACAAAGACAGGAATCCCTCACATTCCCGCCTGTGAAGTTTCCAGTTGTGGACCTTTCAGGTTGCTGCAAAAATGCCACAGGCTATATATCACCTCCTCGCAGGCTTTTATCCTTTTCTTTTTTTCTTTTTTCTTTTTTTATGAATCTGAGCTGAATGAGCCTCGTTTCTATTTATACCATCCTATACATGTGTTTCTCAAAGCTGTTTTGACTCTGCACATTCCAATCTATTTATGTTGGGATTTTCTACAAGTTACAATTGGCCATACCGTTCCCACCGGCTAAAAACAGGCGCACAACACGTCTGAACTTTTGAAAGATATTATAATCTCAATGGACATAACTGTTGACACTAAGTTTAATTAAAATGTCCTGCCTGCTCATTGACCAGCATGTGTGGAGGAACTTTTTCTTTGATTGGAAGTTGTTCCTCTGCAACTGTTAACAGAGGTTGAGCATTGTTCACATTAGTGGGAGACACTGATTCTGAAAACGCCTCATTTAGCATTTATAAGCAGTATATAAACATTTAATAAAAGTTTTTTTATTTGTTTAATGTTGTTGTAGGCAGGTGTAAGTATTTATTCATTTATTTGTCGGGAACAAAAACTCCTGTGGGCGCCTATTAGTGGAGGCTGGTGCTGAAACACAGTTGTAATATGATATGTCCTCATAGGAGAAGTTATTATTGTTAATGAATGCATGTCCTTTTATGTGCTTACAACTACATTACAGTGTGTTATAGACCATTCATTAAATGTTTATATGGTACTTATAAAGGCTAAATGGGGGGTTTTAAGTGTTTCCACTTTGGGAGGATGGTGGCAGAAAGATTTTATGTCAACACCGATGCATATAAAACCAAAAGTTGTGGGAAATACATAACTTGCTTTGTCTAACTAAGTCGTAATCAGACATTTACCAGAGTAAATATATTTATGAATAACTCATTGACACTGATAACTGCAGATCTGATGGTTTATTAGAAAGTGAGGAGGCCACAAACATTGATTAATGACTTGATAACATTTATACAGGCAGAGGCGCTGGCTTATCAAGAGAGGAACCCTTAGTTGTTGACTTTAAAACATGAAATTAGGTTTGTTCGAAGACACTGAAATACTCCAAAGACTCTATGAAATGGATACTTGCATTGTCAGAAGCCGGAGTGTTGCAAGGTCACTGAGTCACTGTGTTGTATCAGGTGGCTTTTATATTGAGTTTCTGTTTTGTTTTTGCGTGAAGCATGTTTCACTTTCTTTTCTTTTCTTTAGGATCCGTGTTATTTCATTTGCAACAATGATTGTTTTGTCCCTGCAATTTCAATGTCAGCCCCTCAGAGGTCTGTCAGTCCGTTTCAGCGGTGGTCGAAAGGTTTGTTCTTTCAAATGACATAATATGATGATATTAAAAGCAGTGATCAATTATTGAACTGTTAATGAAGCCATTAGTTACGAGTATAAGTCATAAACTCCTTTATAAAGTATGTCTTTTCAGAATATACCTCTCCATCGTCAGTTTCACCCTGTTAACTGTGAAACAACAGTGTTATGTCTTTCACTTTCTCAGTGGCAGCTCAGGCAGATATGACTGTGTAGCCATTTTGTCCGGATGCAGATATTTAAAGCACCTGTCATGAAACCTGAGGTGACATTTCGATGCCTTGTGGAGGCCTTAATGTATATTTATTTCCTACACAAAGTCAGTAGGTTGTAAAGACCCATTGAGAGAAAAAAAAAAAAAAAAAAAAAAGATGCTTGATGCAGTGTGACAGCCAAACTGTTGGATAGAGTTTCACATTCTATATATAAGCCTGGTGACTTGTGTCCCTGCTGCTCTATTTAAATGCCACAGTCCCGCTGTCAAAACAGAGAGAGGGGCGCAACAATATGATGGACCTTTTTGAGACCAACACTTATCTTTTCAGTGATTTACGCTACTTGGAGGAAGGGGATCATGGACCACTACAGCACTTGGACATGGCGGGGGTGTCCCCTCTGTACAACGGCAACGACAGCCCGCTGTCTCCGGGCCAGGATAACGTTCCGTCCGAGACCGGCGGGGAGAGCAGCGGGGAGGAGCACGTCCTCGCGCCGCCGGGACTCCGCGCGCACTGCGAGGGCCAGTGCCTCATGTGGGCCTGCAAGATCTGCAAGAGAAAGTCGGCGCCCACTGACAGACGCAAGGCCGCCACGCTCAGGGAGAGGAGGAGGCTCAAGAAGATCAACGAGGCCTTCGACGCGCTGAAGAGGAAGACCGTGGCCAACCCAAACCAGAGGCTACCCAAGGTGGAGATTTTACGCAGCGCCATCAGCTACATTGAGAGATTACAGGACCTGCTGCAAACGCTGGACGAGCAGGAGAAAAGCCAAAACGGATCATCCCATAACTCTAAAGAACTCAGTGTAAGCTAATACTGGATCCAACCCTCATAGCATTCCCATAATGTTCCTCAGGAGTCCGTGATATTCAGATGGCTTTATAAGGACATCATGATGGCTTAATTATGTATTCGTATTCCTATGATGCCTATTATGACGTTATGATTTGTTTACTGCATGTTTATCTCTGTGTCACAATGATATTTTAATATCAGCTGGGTATGACAGCAGGATATTCAGTAATGAGATCACTAATGTCCCTTCCTAACAAATACACGTGTTAGTCTATTAATATTTCCCATTTTTTATTCACATTGTTCATCTTATGATTGTTTTCCTTCAACAGTTTTTCCTTTTTTTAAAAATGATGTGTATCCATTAGACTTGATGTTAAACACGAACATGTATGTTGTGTCCCTACAGGTGGCCAGTCATGAGTACCACTGGAAGAAGTCGTCTGAGCCCTGGCCGACCTCTGCTGACCATTCCACTGCAGCAATGATAGACCAGAGAGAAGGTAGAAATTTGCTTCAAAAACTTCATTGCCAAAACTTCAAAATTCACGATGGACAGAAAATACAATGTAAAAGTGGAATTAAGCATCACTTTCTTTTTTGTTGTTGTTGTTGTTTTTAGGAACCAGTGAGTCCTCCGCATCCTCCAGCCTCCTGCGTCTGTCCTCCATCGTGGACAGCATCACCAGCGACGAGAAGATCAGCTTCAGCGGGGACGTGTCAGAGAACTGAGACGTCGGCGAAAGCCTTTAATCCGACAGCGTATTTAGGATTTTCAAAATTTCCATTGTTTATCTCTAAATTATTTCCACGATAGTCAGCCGTCCTGGCTTCTGTTTTGTCGTGTAGCCTTCATTTGTGCAGCAGGAGCAGCAAATATGTACATATTTTATAATAATGTCAAGTTTAGATTTATTTATTTTGTATTCAAAGGCAGGCGAGCTCTTTAAAAAAAAAACAAAAACACCTGAGATTGTATTTAATTATTTGTACATAACTGACCGTGAAAATAAAATGCTACTTTTGCAATATAGTAAACCGCTATGTTCCTCATTCTTCAAGGTAATTTTTCCTCCACTTCGCTGTGATTTGACAAACGGAGGCAATGCGAGCATCAGCGGGTTACATTAAAACCCGGTTCAAGCTCCACCAGGTCCCCCCAGCATTCACGGCTATTAGAAGTCCATAAAATCTGTCTAAACCGCCCTGGAGCAGTTTGCTGCCGGGCTGCTTCTCTTTGTTCCAACTGGCATCCAGCGGGCCTGATCCCACAACAGTAACTCGAGTCCCCCTGCAAACACAGCGTGCCCCCCGCTCCGCTCCGCTCTCCTCTCCTATCAGATGTTTGGGGGACATGGAAACTTGGGCTAGCAGGCATGAGTGCAAAGCCCGGCGGGATAATGAAGCTATCCGAGCCATTAGGTCTCAATTCATCATCACCTGCTTCGTCATCACGCGGCAAAGCGTTTACATGCGAGCTATTAAAATGTGTGACATGATGCTGCAACGGCGTGGAAATCCTATCGAGTCTCGTTGTTGAGTATTGACATGAGGGGAGGGGGGTGTTTGTTGATGATGTTGGGGTGAACTGGACTCCCTCACATCTCATCTCAGCCCTGGTTGACCTCTGGGACTCGTCATTCAGACCTGCTGACGCACACACACACACACACACACACACACACACACACACACACGTGTTCCTTTGGGTTTATCAGAAGCCAAAGATCTCAGTGTAACATCCAGCACGAGGACAACAAAGAACATTTACTCAAGAACAAATTTGAGGCATTTTCCTGCTTCAGATGCTTCAAAGTACTTTTTCCTGCCTTCTACTTTTCTCCAAAACCTTTTCTACCTCATCAGAAAGAACCAGTGTGGAGTTCAAACCACGCTTTAACCTGAGTTTATCTTCTTTTTGGTGTTTTTTAGTGTCTAAAAAGTGCAATAAGTGAGCGGTTAATGATGCAAAGATCCACCACAAGACGATTCATAAAGCGTTTTATGGTGATTTTTTTTTTTTTTTTTTTTTTTTTGCAACCACATGTGACACTTTCTCATTTCCTGGATCTTTCAACTGTTTTTATTATGTCATATTTATTGGCTGTTGTATTGGTCCCAGTCTCAGGTGCATCACTCATGGCCGGTCTTTTTATTTATGACTTGATTGACCTGATGACATTCACTGCTTCGTTTGTTTTTCAATTTTAGTGGCGGTACAGGGTGTGTGTAGCTGTGGTAACGTCCCTCTGAAATATTGTGTGTTAGTGTTACTGCGGCAGTGTGTCTTTCATATATTGTCGGCTGTCACTTGTCTGACTTGTGTTTCTTTTCTTATTTGTGACTGTGCATGGGCGACCAAACTCCCTTTTCTGTTGGAGGCTGATAACGTTTTTCCATCTGTCCGTTGCATTTTAAGAAGGAAATATTGAAATATTTCTACTCAACCACGTGTATTTGATGGTCACAGGTTCTGATTCAGATAAAACACATAATTACACTACAACAGTATATAAAGCAGTTAAAGTTAGCTGTGATTGGACCAACATTAAAATGCTGCTTAAACAATGGGAGGTAATGTTAATACAATTACAAAGGCTATATACTTCAGATCCTGAAATACATTTTACTGAAAATACTTCTGTACTTTTAAGCAAAAAAAGAAATTCAATGCAGGACTTATCCTTTTAACGGCGTACTTGAACTTTATGTGAGTGGAGGATATGAATACCTCCTCCATATCGGAGCTGAATTAAAACCTGAAAAACACACAGTAATCTTTGGAAAAGCTCTTCTCAACAGAGCAGTTCGTTTCTTTTACTGAATATCCTGTTTTGTGTTGAAACCACACAGAAACATGATCGCTCCCAACAGTAATGTGATTTTAATGGGCTCCTTCTCTCTCTCTCTCTCTCTCTCTCTCTCTCTCTCTCTCTCTCACTCACTCATTCACTGTGATGGCAGTGTGACTCCATTTGCAGCTCCACTGTGTAACTTCCAATTTCATACCTTTTTATTTTTTTTTGGTAATTATTGCAAATCACTGAAACTGTAAACCTCACATCAACATCAACATCAACATCAACGATCGCACTTTGTCTCAGAAAAACACCTGTTTGGTTGATTTCTGCTGATTCCTGTCTGAAATGTAAAGATGTTCTTGTGAGTGAAGCTGTATTTGCTGCTGTACCGTCTTACCTTTTTATATTTCCTCCATCATGCTTCATGCACGAACCCCACCCACCCACCACAAAGACACAGCACCTTCCACGAGCCTCAGCTTTCTCTTGTCTATAACTTTACAGGGAGTTTCGGTGTTACTGATGACACCATATAATTCTCATTTAGCTGTGAAGGCAGTGTTTTAAAAGCCGAAGCTGATGAAAGGCGAGCTGTTATAGGAGTGGGAGTGGGAGTGGGGGTGGTTGGCTGGGGGGGTGGGGGGTGTAGGGCGGCTGAGTGCTCTGATTTATCCAGACTCTCCCTGAATATCCTGCTATAAGAAAAGGATTCAGAGCAGCAGGCCTGCACCTCTGTCTGCTCCCTGCCAAACAAATGGTGTTGCCACTCAAAATGTTTTTCTTTTTCTTTTTTTGTTTCAGTAATTCTTATGGGGGATGTAAAATGGACAAGGAGGGGAAACATTTGAATCAGATGGTATGGCTGTTTTTATTAAAGCGCAGTTATGCTTCACCCAGAAAACTCCAACTTCAATCATATTTTGCCGGTTAAAAAATGCAAAAACATAAAATAAAAATTAAAAAATGAGCTTCACTTTCCACCAGAGAGGAATTTATTTTGCACATCATTACTTGAGTCGAAGTATAATTCCTCCTAAGTATTCAAAAGTACATATTTTTTATTTCAACACATTGTTGTTTCACAGTGTATTTACAGACTGTATGTGTATTTTAACCGAATGAATAAACTGAGTTTCTTGAAGAACCTGTGGAATAAAAAGCTTCTGTAAAGCCCGCAGAAATGGCCATGAAACAAGTGAATCAACAAAAGGAGCCACTGTTGATTTTATATTTCTTTTTTTTTTTCAGGCAGAGATGAAGTTTGGTTCTTTATTTCTAAACCTTCAAACACAGACTTCAGATCAGACCATGGTCTCTCAGTTAGGTCACTGACGGGGTTCAGACGTGACTGACAGCGGAGGAGTTGGCTGTGATTGGGTTTTCCTCCTGTGATGAACACAGTGTACGGCCTGTCACATTTTCAGAATAAAATAAAATTCATTCCAGTGATTGAAAGCTCTGCTTCAAAGTAAGAGTTCGTCAGTGTTTCGTCATAGAAATATAGTGAAGTCAAAAGGAGAATATTTGGAGTAAAAATTATAAGTTTCCAAAATAAAGAATACTCAAGTAAAAGTACTTCACCATCGTCAACCTGTGGCTTTGCAGGAGTCTGAGTGATAAATTGTGTCTGTCACTGAGGCTGGTGCTGCACTAAACAAGCAGCTTATAAAGTCAGAGCATGAGGCACTTTGGAAGAAATAAGGTTTTCAGACGTGAGGGAGATGGACATAAAAGATCACCTCCTGCCCTTCACTTAACTCCGTCTCTGACCCTTGAGAACAACAAAAAAGCAAAACTCCAGTCAGTTCCCAGGAGACCGGGAGGGAGGGGGGGGGCGCGGATCACATCCCCGGGGCCTGCACGTGCTCAATCTGCGCCAATATAAACTCCTAATAACACCATGTGCTGCTCCGATCTAACCCATAGCGTCAATTAGCCTTTAGCTGGATGCCAGGTTTTCTCATCGTCGGGCCGTTGTTCTCAGCCCTAAACGCGCTTTGATCTTCTCAGCAGATACAAGCCGATGTCTTCTTCAGCTGTGCCTAATCCAAACTCCGGCGGCAATTCAGAGGAGGCGGCAGGTACTGGTGTTTTCTTAGGTGCGCGCAGTTCCCAGAGACTGGATGAGAGGGGTGGTGGTGGTGGGGGTGGGGATGGGTGGGGGTCTCGCCAAACGTTTTGACACATTGTGAGAAATATCCGCATTGTATCCTTGTAAGCTGTCAACAGCGTAATTACCTAAACAAGTCAGCGTCGACCTGCAGGAGACCCGCTCTGTCTGACAACCTCAGACTGTTGTAAGAGAACAATCCTGCAAATAAGAGACGATTCGGCTTCACTCCGGAGCAGTTTATAATGTCAGCGTCTTTATCACGTGTCACCAGCAAGAAAGAAGCAAAGAGAACAATGGAAACAAAGTGAAGTTTAAATGTCTGAGAGCTCTTGAGGTGATTTGATTTGCACAGTTTACATGGCACAAACAAGAGACAAGTTGCAGACATGTGCAGCCTTAAATCCCTCCTGTCTTAAACCCTCCAAACCTTCAGACCTCCACCTGAATAAAAACCCATCATGGCCATCTGCTGGGTGCTGAATTGAAGCACTTGACTTGTGTCAATAATCTTTAATGGTTCAAATTTGGCCCTTTAGAGGCCAAAATGGTGCAGGGAGTTGCAGGGGTGTCAATTGTGTAATTGCTGTCTTAATGAGCTTTGGCAAACACGGATCACCTCATCAGCAGCACCTCCAGTGACGAGGGTGAGGTGAGTGTTTAGAGGAGGGGGGTGGGGGGTGGCTTATACCGCTGTAATGTGAATTCACAGGGCTTGAAATGTTACACCTTCCTTTGCAGCTGGGCTGCATCTGCAACGCTGTTGTCTCCACCGTAACAATTGGCCTGCATACTCCTACAAGTGGTCACCCTCCCTTTCTGCACAGATTGACCAAACAAAACAGTCTCTCTTTAATGTTTATGTCTTCATAGCAAAGTGTCACTTTGATGGTCGCGATGCCTGCAGGCCGCTCGCTGATGAACCGAGCTAAATGAAGCACTTACAGCTGTGTAAGAACAGGCCGTGTTGTGGTTAAAGCTGCAAATGTTCTGAAACATTCCCGAGCATTGTATTCATCACGGCCTTGCAGGACAAGGGCTGTTGGAAGGAGAGAGTGGTGATGAGTGGGAAAACACCAGTAAGTGCAGATGTGGGAAACTCTGCAGGGTACTGGGGGGTGAGGAGGCAGCGGTTTGGGATGGGGCAGGGAGGGAGTTGAGCTAACCCCAGCCTGCCTTCTGGCTGGGCCAATGGGCCATGGTAATTAGATCTGGCCAATGTGGGCCCTGGGCTCTGGCCTGGGGGCATATAAGGGGGGCCCGGGGCAACAGACCCCTCATATCACTCAGAGGTCTCCTCTCTCTCTCTCACCCAACTCCTCTACCCTCCTTCCTTCCTTTGTGCCCATCACTCCATCCATTCAGACTCTTTTCGTCAACGAGCCATGGATGTCTTCTCACCATCCCAGGTCTACTACGACAGAGCGTGTGCTTCCTCTCCAGACAGCCTGGAGTTCGGCCCCGGCATGGAGCTCGCCGGCTCAGAGGAGGACGAGCACGTCAGGGTCCCCGGAGCCCCTCACCAGCCGGGACACTGCCTGCAGTGGGCTTGCAAGGCCTGCAAGCGCAAGTCCAGCTTCGTCGACCGCAGACGGGCCGCCACCATGCGCGAGCGCCGGCGGCTGAAGAAGGTCAATCACGCTTTCGAGGCGCTGCGGCGCTGCACCTCGGCCAACCCGAGCCAACGCCTGCCCAAGGTGGAGATCCTGCGCAACGCCATCCAGTACATCGAAAGCCTGCAGGATCTGCTACGAGAGCAGGTGGAAAACTACTACAGCCTACCTGGAGAGAGCGGCTCTGAGCCCGGGAGCCCGCTCTCCAGCTGCTCTGATGGCATGGTAAGACCTCTGATCCTCCGCTTCCTCATGCAAACATCTGGTTGTACAGAGTCCTGATGTGGCTGTAAACCCAGTAACATGTCCATCAGAGAAACGGGAACTACTGCATGTGAGACAGGACTTCATCTTGTAGGAACTCCACCCCAAAAAAAAGTCAGAGTCAGAGTCTGTTGCCATTTCTCATTAGCAAGTAGATCATTTCATTTCAAAGCAGAACCTGGATTTCCAATTTACAAACTTTTTAATCAAATACGGCAGTTTTGCAACAACACCTCAATTACCACGCTTCCTCATGCATATCATATAAACATCTCTTCTGCAGTCTCACATGTATCTTTATTCCCTGATGCTTGTTATTACAGGTCAGATTAGTTTCTCTGAAGGTGACTGTGTATCAGTTGATGCATAAGAGCTTCTAATGCTGGATGGGGTAATGGCTTTCCCACCACCGGACACTTTATAGCCCTAATAAACCGAGCTAAATCCACCGTACTGAAGTCTGGCAGGAAAAACTGGGTGCTTTTCTGCATTCCATCCTGACTGCATGTTCTGCGCCGCTGCCAGGATTTTCTGCAGATTTACTAGGAGAAAGTGTCATCTTGCACAAACTGGTGTTGCTTCCACTGATACAATCGATTCGCCACGCTCGGAGTCAGGGTGGGGGGGGGGGTGCACACTGCCACTTTTGCTTTAAGGTATATGTGAAATAAAGAAACCCATAACTTTGGAATTCAGGATTTATTAGCCCTGTCCAGTTTATCATGAAGGGCATTGGTTGTCTTTCTCTTTTCTGCCTCTTCCTATCCCATATATATTTATATCATATCTGATCTGTCTGCTGCTTCTTTTTTTTTTGTTTTTTACGTGTTTGCAAAAATTCAAGGCTAAATTTCGATTTCTCGTTTCCTTCCAGGCTGGCAGCAACAGCCCAGTGTGGCAACAGTTGAATGCAAACTACAGCAACAGCTATTCATATGCAAAGAATGGTAAGACCTCTTGACAGTAACAGCAGCTTGATATGAATATGACATGTATTCCTGCCAGCACTTTGCTTTTAAAATCAAATTTTCGAATGCTTGATGACTTTAAACGTCCCACAGTGCCAGAAAATTAAATGTAATAGTTCATATGTGGCATCCGCTGATCCCAGCTCTCCCCCCCTTCTTCCCATCAGAGAGTTTGGGCGGCAAAGCAGCCGGAGCCTCCAGCCTCGAGTGCCTCTCCAGCATCGTGGACCGCCTCTCCTCGGTGGAGTCCGGCTGTGGACCGGCCGCTCTGAGGGACATGGCCACCTTCTCCCCCGGCAGCTCCGACTCGCAGCCCTGCACGCCGGAGAGCCCCGGGTCCAGGCCCGTGTACCACGTCCTGTGAAAGGAAAAACCTTCTCTGGATATTTTGCCACAGGCGGCGTTTGCGAACAGGAAGAGATAAGAACTGGTTTTTGTGTGAAGCTGAAGGAGACTCAGCAGAATGTGAGGACCTGTGGCAAGAAGCTTTTTATATTGTACATGAGACTGTAAATATGTAATGTAAATGCCCATTTATTCTATACATGCTGTTATACCCAATGAGACGTATTTAATAATGACAGTTAATGTAATGTTGCATTATTCCAACATTAAGTGGTATTTATGCAGTGTTATTTCTTACTTTTCATGTTGTTGTGAACATTAAATCTTTTCACTGTTATGTATGAACGTTCAAGCTTTTTCTATTTGTTTTTTTTTGGAAGCTCTTCTTCTTCTGTTGTTTCAACGCATGTGTTCAAGAAACCTAACAAGCTCCATTCATCAAAACAAGGTTAACAGACAGTAATGTGTCTTAGTTTACTGGGGTTTTTTCAAGTTAATACAACAGCTAAATGAATCAGTTAAGATCACAATCAATCAATAATCAACACACCTCCAAAACTAGGTTGTTTCATATGAAATAAAAGGGGGGAAATTATTTATTAAGTGTCGTGCTCAGGGCTCGTCCTGCACAGTCTCGACTGTCTCCAGCTAACAAGGTGTGGAGATCACATTAGAAACTGATAGAGGTCAGCTGATACCATTAATCATCTGACACGGCTGTAATGACTCGCGGAGGCTGAGGCGCACAAGTCGTTACAGCATTTTATCCAAAATTTACATAAATTCACAGTAAATCTAGTAAAAATAAATTCAAATACTGAAAACATTTAGTCCGTCTTTGATCAGGTTTTATTCTCTATGTTGCTTTGATGTGTTTGGGAGTGTGAGTTTGGAGGAAGGATGGGGGGGCAGCATTGTATGTGTGTGTGTATGTGTGTGTGTGTGTGTGTTTGTACCTGTTTGTTCTTTGCTGCCAAATGTGAGTCATCATTAACACCCTGATTAGACCATCAGCACTGAGGTTGGGAACAAATGGCCTTTAATTGTACTTATTGTGTGAGTGAGGGGGGGGGGGGTCATGTGTGTCATACTGCCTCATTTCTTTGATCAGGCTGTCTGTCTGTATTTGTTTTAGTTCATGTAGGCTATTGAGAGGAAATACTTTTTTTTTTTTTTTTTTAAATCACAATACATACAGTGAAAATCTATATTTCTTTTATGGTTATTGTTTCTATGATTATATTTTCCGCTCCCCGACTCACATTTCTTTTCCCATTATGCTTTGCTCTAATGTGCTCCGTCTGGGTTACAACTACAAAAACAAAAATAAAATGTCTCCCATTCCTCTGAAGTTCTTTTATTTCAGTTTATTTGCATTTATTCTTTTATGCAACACATCTCATCAAAGTTTTAAAAAAATATCATTATTTCCCCTGGCTTCAGCATTGTTTATTATTGCTTGTAGTTTTCCGACTGTTGCTCTAGTGTTCAGTGGTGGAAAGTACGATAATGAAGTACTTACTAACATAATACTTATAATCCATCACGTTTCAGGAGGAAATCTATATTTTGACTCCACTACATTGATGTGACAGCTATAGTTACACCTACAGCCACATCACATCACAAGATTTTATATATAAAATATAAGAAGAGATCATAAGTATAATTTATTACTTTATATTTAGTTAAAATTTGCTTAAACTTGTCAGTAATAATCTCATGATAAATAATAATAAAATCATTATAATAGTTTTCACTGTTGATACTTGAGCTATGTTTTGCTGATTCCTCTTGCACCAGCCTCACATTAAATCCTCCCCTCATGAAGCCGATAATGTTCAGTTTTTGCTCAAACTGTTGGAGAAAAAGTGTTAACATGAAATACAACATTCTTGTATTATATTACATACGTCTCAGCCAGATTGCCTAATAAACTGGCAAGTGAGTGTATAAAATGTGAATCTGCAGAGTAAATTGGCACAAAATAGAAATACTACTATATAAACAACAAGTACCTCCAGTGGTGGGGGGAGGTATATTTATCCTCTGCTTGAGTACAAGTAGCAATACTGCAAAATAAAAGTACTCCATTACTAGTAAAAGCCCTGCAGGGAATATGAAAGTACGTAAATGTATTTAAAGTATAAAAAAGAAAAAGTGCTCATTATGCAAATAAGTGAATGAGACTTGCACTAGTATAGATTATTATTGCCAGTGCATTAATATGGTAGCAGCATTGTGATAGTAGCAACAATTAACTACTGTAGATGTATGTACAATCATAATCTGCACAGTGAAGCTGTTAAACACATGTAGTGAAGTGAAAAGTACAATACTGTAAACATCAAACATGGGAGGTTTCACTGGGAAGTGAGTTATCTGGTGAGGCCATAGGCCCTGCAAACTAATCTAACACTGCCATTCAAAAACAACATTCAGTACACATGTAATCTGTCCATGTACACATCCATCCGTGCATCAGCTCTCTCTGATTATGCCACTGCAGGAGTATGACACTGTCCACAGGCGAATACTCACGGTTCAGCAGAGCTCGATCTCTCTGCTACGGCTCTATGAAACATTGCAGACATTCCAGCGGCGGCTTGTATTTCAGTAACCTCTGTGGCCGCGTTCAACGCTCCAAATGTCACTGATGTCATTTTTCCATGGCTACTCTGCGGTTGTGATTCATGAACTGCTTACTCACCGAGCCCCACAGCGTCAACACGAAGCACACGGAGAGCTCAAGGTTGTCGAGGTCGAGCACGGAAAATCAGATGAAATAAAGAAATAAAATTCACTTATTTTTTTATTTATTTGTCATATTTTAATCTTGATAGAGAAAGGAGATAGTTTATCAATTAACTCTGTAATATCAAGACTCAAAGGCCAGCACAGCCATTACTGTAGTACTCCGTAAGACCACAAGAGAGAGGTGTTTCTTGTATTTCCTTCATTAACACTTGACCAGCCACTTCAGCCTCTGTACTTGGACTTAAATGATCAATATTAAGAGTCAGGGTCACACAGGGGTGTGTGTTTCAGCCTCTAAATGATCATGCTGATATTGTGTCTATTGAAGAAACAGTTATTCAGAACCTCTTTTCCACAGCTCTGAGGAGGATGCTGAGCTCATCCTGGATGTTTAAACTGAGGTTTTTTCGGGGGAATTAAATCTGCCCTCTGGCAAAAAAATCTGTGATGTGGTTGCAGCTGCAGAGACAGGGAAGGACGTGGTATAACGGATGTGCATTCTGTGGATCTAAACCATTAGAGATGCTAAAGCGAACGCTGCGTTTCAAGCATTTTCGATTTGTTCAGTCGATGAACCAGCTGATGTTTTGACGATATCACAGCTCAGCGTCGATTCTTTCCCATCACACTCGGAGTGCAGTAAGTCTTGATGTTTATTGCGCTGTGTGCATGAATCCAGAGGAGACACAGTCCTCAAACAAGATACGTATGAGGGGTTGATTAAGATATCTTACTTTGAAATTCAAACACAGGAATCACAGTCATTTGCAAGACAAACTGAACGACAACATGTTTTTGTTTCATTTTCATTTCACTGATGTTGCACAAATTCTTCAAAGATAAAGAAGTTTAGTTGAGCAACTAATTTTGTTTTATATTGTTAGAATTTGATCTGGAGCTACGTGGCTGCCACACACAAAAAGATTTAGAAAAAATACTAAAAAATAATAAATTAGCTGACACTGAAAAGAGATATGGTTAGCTGAATGCTTCTTTATGACCTTGGTCAAAATAAATAAATATCTGTAAAGTGCACATTGCTGTTTTTGGAGGAAGTGTATCACAGTAATACTGAGGGTGTGTGGATGATCAGACCTGCTATTATAAGGTGCAGCGGAGGTGATGTCACTGTTAGAGGCCTGGAGAAGCGGGAGCGTTAACACACAGTTTGCTCAGTGCTATTTCAGGTCCAGAGGTGTAGAAAGAAAATCAGGAAGGTGATGAAAACTATTTTCACACCTGTGACACATTAACACATGTCCCTCAAAAAACAGATGAAAATATCTATTGTATTGTTTTATCATCTCTGCCTCTGGAATCAGAGATGAGCCTTTTGTTATCGTGACAGATGAAGACTTTATTTTCACTTTCTTTTCATGGTGGTTACTACGTGGTCCTGAGAAGGTGTTACCTTCAGGCCCTTTTCTACTTATTAACAGCCACACACGCCGGCGAGGGATTCGTCACCTGCACTAACGCCACCTACACTCTTGAGTTTTGTCACTTCGGGCTTTGGTCATCTGCTGTAGAAGTGGCTATTTGCTGGAGAAGAGCTGTAACAAGGGTTTTTATTGCACGAAACACCGTGTACAACACATTGCCAGTAAAAGAAACGACATCGCTTAGTGCTTCTACTGTGTGAGTTTAGTACCTCCCATTTACAGGAGTCTTTTTTATTAGTTTCAGTGTCTGCTTGGTATTGAGTTAACAAAAGGACATTGACTTTCTGTTCCAGGGCCAAGAACCTGGAAACGCCTTCAGAGGGACTCTTCACTACACAAGGTTTCATCACTCCAGCTTCAGCAGCTGCACTTAGATCAAAGACAGGTAATAAGTGACAAGCCGTTATGTCATTATCAGGAGAAACAAAGAAAACAACTGCAACTCCTAATTCTAAATCTTTCTGATTTTCAAATAACGAGTCACGTGACCAGAGTTCAGTTGATGGTATGACCGTGGCATTGTGGGTCAGAATCAGCACGGAGGGGCCAGACGAACTACGGTATGGTGTCTTTGATTTGTTTATATTTGTGTGTAATGTTGTTAATGTGACTTTATATGAAGAATGTGAAACGTTTTCCATATTTTTTATCTGATTTAGATTTTTGTTGCGTTAACATGGTCGGGCCTGTTCATTGATGGTTACTAGGATATTAGCCTTTGTGTTGGACCACTGTAGCTACAGCTTTGATTATATGAGTATTTCATGGGAAGATTCCTGTATTTATCTTTAAATTTGAGCATTTTTAGGGGAATAAGAAGAAGAAATAAGCAGGTATACGATGGTCTATTGAACACGTTTGAATGGGCAGACTAACACTCTGCTGGACTCTGTGTTCCCACCAAAACCTTCCTCAGTAAACAATATTTCATCTCTTTAGGGGAAGGGCTCGACTCGAACTTGGACTGAGATTCAGGCTTTCAAACTTTAACCAATCTACATTTTTTTATCTGCTGATATTTTAAATCAATGCCCCTCTGGGTGTCAAACCACTAATGTCATTGGTGGTGCAGTACTGAGATATGAATGAAAGGTCGACAGAGCGTTCACTGTACACAAGCACATAGATTTATTTATACAAATATAGTATGTATAACAATTGCATATCAACATTTGTTGTCTTTTTTTTTTTCCTTTTCTTTTTTTTAAATCTTTACGGTAAGTACAGGACCATCAGCTTCAAAAATGCAAGTCAATTAAGAAAGAGTACCTGTGATTTAAAGATACAAAAAGGGATCTGTCGTATGTCGATGTTCTGCTTGACGATTGAGTGAGGGACAAAAACTTCTGAATATCCTGTAAAACCTGAGCCTTAAAGTCACCTAATATAAAAGCTTCAGCATTAAGTGACCTTAAAGTGCTGACAGGTTATTTAGGAAATGACGATATCTGGCAGCGTGGCACGTAATATGCATGTAGAAGACGTCTGCTCTGCTGGGCTTGTGTGATCGGATGTATAATGTAGATCAGAACAGATAAAAAAGTAAAAATGAATCTTTACATCAACAATAAATCTGTGATGCAAAATAAATAATCCACAACATTTTTTATGAAAATGCAGCTTAACAACTTTTCATTTGCTGTTCTGGTCGCTCCTCGGAGGGAAAAAATAAAATAAAATAAAATAAAATCCTCTGGCATACAAGAAACAATTATGCGTTTTTTTTTTTTTTTTTTGTTTTGTTTTTTGGTTTGCTTCGGATAAAGAGAAGAAGAATGGCCTGAGGGTGAGAGTCTGAATGGTGGAACAAAGAGAAGAGTGCCTCCTACGGAAAATGAGGACGAATCAAAAGAAAACACGAGACGGTATAAAGAAACACAAAGCGATTTCTGGCAATAGCGATAAGAAAAGAAAAAAAACAACAAGGAGCACTTAGCACCAAAGATGGAGTGAACACAGGCCTGGCAGATCACCACTTTAACCCAGGCTCAGAGAAAACAGATTTCCCTTACAGGTACAGAAGGAAAACAAAAAGAAGCTAAAACATTGTACTCAGTCTCATCGTAGCTCACAATGATTGTCTAAAGAGAAAACAGATTCACATAAACTATGTGCTAGTTATACAACTAATATATCTTAAATAATAATCTGCATGTTTTAGAAGGAATACGTAATAATATTTTAAAGGAACAATAAAACTTTATGTTAAATCTCTCATCTCATAAACTATAAAATAGAAAAGTCTGAAATATAAACATAAATCTAGCGTATTTAGATTTAATTCATTCTGCTTGTAGGACACGGATAATATTTCTGAGGATTGATCTGAACCTCTTTGTTACTATATATCTTCTGGATAAATCTCAGCTGGGAGAAGCGTATGAAGTCGGCTAATTATTGCACATTAATTGTACATGCCACCTTGTACGTCAGTAATCTATTTAAATGGCATAGAAGGATAGATCTGGACTCTTTAGAAGCTGCCTTACAGTGCATGGAAAAACCAGATTGCTTTACAGTGATTTACATGTTGCACCCGTCCCGTAAACTCTGCATCTACTGTGAATTTAGTCAAATGAAAATGAAAAACTGAAGAATGTCTGTTATTGCTAAATCTACAAGATAAAAAACCTTTTTTCTTGCTACAATATAGAAGGTAAAAAAGAGTTCACGTTTATCCAAAACAGGACGAATTTGACCCAGAAAAAAAAGAAGAAAGAAAGAAATCAATGGTCATTCATACAGAGACACAAGCACCAGTTGAAGAATCAATAGAAACACCACTGTACAAATGATATCTATGGCAAAATGGCGAAGGTGCCAATGGATGTCAGTAAGCAATCAAAAATGGGTGACTGTAAACAAAACAACGAACACAAGAGTTTCAGTAAGAGTCACAATCGGAGGGGAACAACTTATAAAAGGGAATACAAAGTTAAAATGGACGACCGTCAGCGCTCGCCTCCCTCAAAGCACCAATGTCGGGACACACGGCTCTCTTTGTTTTTGCTCAGTAACTGTTGGTACACTGGAAGGGAGAGAGAGAGAGTAAGTAAAAGAGTCTTTTACTTGTAGGTTTTTTCCTCCGCGACGGTGCGTTTCCTTTGGGTTCTTCCTCACACACAAACAGATGGTCTTTGAGATCCACCTCTTTTTTTTTTCTTCCCTCTCCCCCGCTCGCCTTCACTTCCTCTTCTTTTGGAACAACCTGCCGATCATAAGGAAGAGAGACAGACAGAGAGAGAGAGAGAGAGAGAGAGAGAGAGACAAGCTGAGAGCGATGCCTTAAAGCTGGCTGGCGGTTCAGTCTTAGAAACGGCGTGTTAGAGAAAGCGGAATCAAGCTGAGTCCTGATGATCTTACTAAATGATCAGAGCTTGGGATCCTTGTGAATCAATCATCCTCAGCCTTTAATTTCCCTGGAATACAACAGATCCATCTGTGAGCATATCAGGGTTGCCAACTGTCGTGCTTTTGGAAGGAGACTCCCGCTTTTCATGCGCCGTTTGATGCCGTCATGCCAAGCAAATGTCACAGCAAATGCAAGGAAGGCCAGTCCTTGATGTAAAATATAGCTCATACACATCTGAACATCAAGCTTCGAGATCGGTTCATAAACGTGACGGAGATCCCATCTTAAAGCGAACCTTTCTGCACCAGTCACCTGGCTGCAAATGTGTAGCCCTAAATTTTTAAATAGGGCATTATATATAGGCTATATTCCTGTCAAATCCTATGTAGATTTGGCAGACCTTTATTTTGAAGGCTACACATTAACACTTACAGTGTTGTGTTTTCTGCTTTAAAAACTTTCTGATATATTTTTTATGGAAGTAAATATATGTTTAGGTACAACTCCTACACTGTCCTATGTACAGGAATGATGTATGTGTCAAGAGGGAGTTTTATTTTACCAACAGCATGACCTGCACTTGGCTAGCTTTACTTCCTGTTTTCGCTCTGGCCTTGTCTGTGAGAAGGTATGCTTGCTCTTCACTCTGTTTACTTCTGGTGTTTTCTTCTGTGTATGTGATTTAAAGTTGGTTTAAAGTTGCTGCATGAGGGAATGTGTGGATGCTGGTACGCTTTGCAGCTGAAGTTTTTACTCATTTTCATCCATTAATCTGCTGGTAAGAGGGAAAGTTTGTGGAGGCATGTGTATGGAAGAGCAGCTGATTAGCTTGCAATGCAAGTGCAGTGTTGTTGACACCATGTTTTAGCAGCGTGGAGCATTGAGTGATTCTGGTCATGGTGTTACTGTACGCGGGCATGGACGGCTTTTATGCAAGCGAGACCATGTGAATTGTGAGGTTGTGCTGATGCCGTTGCCGGTGTCTTGCAATAAATAGCAGAAAGACAAACCGTGTTAACCATCATGCAACACAATGCAGTTATATATCCACTACTCAGGCTCTAAGATAAGTGGGGTGACTACAGAGGCAGACTTTTTAATGGAAAACCAAAACCTTATGTCGGCTCTAAACTCATTTTGAAAATGTGTGTTCGGTCTGGCTGATGTGGTTAGAGCCACTAAATGTTGCACATAAATATGGAGGGTTTCCTGCAGCTTTTATATTTTCAGGCAGGTTATCTTGCCTGAAATACAACAACATCAGAACAGTTAACAGACTTGTGTGTATATATATATTAAACATGTATATTTAATGAATGAAGCTGTTGTTTAGATCATCATCTTCTATCTTTTGGCAACTATTAAAATGTGGAAACGTGTGTGTGGAGGAGGAAAGAGTGGCAAGTCAAGACAACTGGCAGAGACAGTGAGAGAGAGATGAATACCAGTCAAACCAGTGGCTTATGTTGCACTCATGTCTGCTTGTGTGTGTCACTTGGTCGGCGGCCTACTGGCCCGCCAAACCAAATCTCTGCGACCGGCATTGATAAAACATGATCCCTGCTCAGTTCCCTGTCTGGAGCTCCACCGCAACACACTGTTACAAGCTCCCAAATACCTTCCAAAGCTGCGCCGTGCCAAGTGCAAGACAAGAGATATGCTTGGGGGATTTAGCATCAAACGGGCAGTGCCACAGAGATCTTGGACACATGCCCGCCTCCAGTACGTCAGGGAGACGCTTAAACAGTTTGAAAAGTCTGGGCAGAATTAGGCGAAGCATGATATGATTTAACTTCATGGTGTGATTAGTGTCTAAAAAAGTTTTCTCCTCGCTTTCAAGTTTTTGCTATTTTCAGTCGGTAAAAGTGCGAGTTTGTTTTAGTTTGACAGGCAGCGCTGGGCTTTGTTCTAAATTTGGACTTTGAAATGTAAAAATATTGTCTCGAGCGGAGGCACGTGGACCCTCCGTTCAGCTGCAGCTTCCACGTAACGACACCGCGGGCTGCATCTGCTTATCCACGTACCTGCAGAGCATGAACCACAGATGTAATCGGTTTAAGCTTCAATAATTTACAGCCCTTACAACAGAATCACTGGCAGAACACAGCAGAGGTGGTAATGTTTGCACAGATGATACCCGACGCTGAGTTTGCAAAATATACCTCTGAGGTTTCAGGCTTCGTACCGGGATGTAAATGCGAATCTCCATCTATGTTCCTTGCCTTCCTTCATTCATATTATTTATAATAACACACTTCAGAACAAATTTACACAATGCTTCATAATTAATAGAGGCAAAAATTGACCTAAAATAAAATAAATTTGATATAATTCATAATAAAAAAAGGAATAAATAAAGTAAATAAATTCCATAAATTGTAAGTCAGGTTTCTGAAGACACTAATAATTCAGCCAGCCGGATTTTCTGACTGCAGGTCTCAGCCGGAGGCTGTGTACATACTCATGAGGGAAATGATAAAAAGGTGAATCTGTATGTGGATATCTGCACCTACTATTCGCTCTTATTCTATTCCATTACAGCCAAGCCCAAAAATAGCAGACAACTTCTAATCCAAAACTCTGTCGCATTAAAAAAAAAAAAAAAGAAGAAGAAGAAGAAAAAGATAATCTGTGCTCATCTCCATTTGACCTTAGACGGCTACACAGACTGGCACTGTGGGCTAAAATAAAGCATTAAGCCATGAGAGCATTCTGGGCTTCACAGTGATTTTAGAGTAGTAGAAAAGTCTGCTGTTAAATGAAAATGAACCTTTCTTCTAATTGACCATGAGTAATTCATCTTTAATTGGGCTGTGTGTAATATGGCAACCCAGTTTGCTAGAAAGTACATTCATATAGTAATTAACTCCTGATTAGGTTGTGGTCTGTTGCATTTAAACCAAGTGCTGTGAGTGCCTACACATAACCATCAACACCAAACAGACTGATAATGCTGTAGTCACTACAAAACGGCTGCATGATCAGATATTCTGGTGGAAAACAAATATGCTGTGTGAATATTTTACTTTTATGTTCAGAAGCAACATCTTTGCAATGTACCAAATACATGAATTAACACCATATCTTTATTTCACTAATGTTGTTGCAAATTAGTTGTTTATAAGTCTAATGTCCAGGAGACAGGGTTGAATATGGAGGTTAAAAAAAATTGCTCAACATTTAGGAGAATACACTTCACAGACTTATGTCACAGCCTGAAGATGGCTAGTTTAGCTTAGCATAAAGACTGGAAACGGGTGGGAAACAGCTAGCCTGGCTCTGGCTCTGGTTTGCGGGAAGTCACGCGCTGTAACAGGTTGTTTTTACATTTCAGTTTGTGTTTGTTCAGCTGTTTTCCTCTCCTATTTCCCAAAATGCCACATATTCCTTTAAAGGAGCAGATATGTAGCTGGTTTGAAGGTTTTCTGGTTTGAACTCTGGACTCTCCGTGGAAAATGGAGATAGAAAATATGGTTGAGTGACAGACAGCGGTGTAAACACATAAAACTGTATGAATATAGAGCAGGGTGAAGCTGCAAAGCATACATGCATATATGCTTCATCAACTTGAATAAACACAAAACTTTTCTGTTTGTGCAACTCCAAGTAAACACCTTCCACCGTGTTTTACCTCGTGCTCCTGGTCGCCAGCCTCATCCCCCCCCCTCCCCCACCCCTCCCCCTCACCCTTAAAGCAATGAAGCGCCTCACCTACGACATGTGGTTCTGCTGAGAGGACAGGTTCTGCTGTTGCTGCTGCTGCATGAGGAGCTGCTGCTGCTGGCGCCGCCGGGCCGTGCGGAGCTTCTCGAAGCGAGCCTCCATCTCCTCCAACACTTTGGGGGTGTAGCGAACCACCAGCTTCACACTGTCCTTGGCCGCCTTCAGCAGCTCCACCGCCTTCTCGTGATGCTCTCCCTCCACGCTCTGCAGGGGGGGGGGGGGTTAAAAGAGAGTGGAATTTTTAAAGGAAGCTGATTTGAATATATGTTTAAAATAGTATCCGCTCTGAGAAAAAAAAGAAAAAAGGATATTTGCTCCATTTTCAATAGTGATATCATGTGAAAATGCACAGTCTCTCTCTCTCATCTCTCCAGTGGATGAAGAAGAGTTTCTGCTCTCTACACAAGACATGCAGCACTTTGATCTCAGTAGCTCTCCTGATTGTTGACTCACGCGTCAAAGAAGCTTCTAAAAATATTTCACTTGAGGACATAGAACTTTTCTCTTTTTTTTTTTTTTTTAGGGGAAACAGAGAAGTTTATCTACGCTCTGCCTCCAATCCATATATCGAGCCTTTCTCTAAACATTCATCTAAATGTGAAGTCTGGTTGGACCTACCACGCCGTTGACGGACAGGAGCTGGTCCCCTCGCTTTAGGCCGCCGTGCCTCTCAGCCACGCCTCCGGGAATGATGCGGGAGATGTAGATGGGCGAGTTCTGTTCTTTGCCGCCCATCACGTTGAAGCCCAGGCCTTCCTCCGTCTTGGGTAGCTCCACCACCCGCGGGTGAGAGTGACCCTCGCTGGCTGCGAAGGCCGCCACTGTGGCCTGAGGGGAGACAGAAGAGGAATCAATCATCTCGGCAGTAACTACGATACAAAAAAATACATTTATAGACGCATTGTTTTTGAGACACAGTAGGTTGAATGCTGAGCTGAGTATGAACTACACTGCTTTTGCCATGACTTGTAATCTTGTAAGCTGTGTCCCAATTCTGGGGCGCCATCCTGTCGAGGTTGCATTTGTACACCGACTGCGTCACAGCGGCGTGACTAGGCTGTCCCATTTTGAAGGATCCAACGGGAGGATCCAGGGTTAGAGGATCAAGGTTACTATAGGCAGCAGCGATAAGGGCGGGCACAGCTGGTGACGCACGGTGAAAATCTTCCGTAGGCCAGACCGTCTCCGTTCGGTTTGGCCTTCTTGGTCAATGACGGCTACGAAAAGGCCACATCTTGGTGGACCACGTCCTCCAAAGGATGCAGCCCCTGACTACACAGCTGTAGTCTGCAGTTATTATTACACTCTAAGTGCAAAGGAGGAAGCTCATTTCAATACGATTACACAGTGGTTTTAAAGGTGGATAGAAACTCTGAACCTCTGCGGCACCTTCTCATTTCAGCAAGGATGGCCGTAACAAAGCGTTAGGATTTAGGCAGGGCAGGGGATTTAGACTCCAAACGAGAAGTTCTCTGGCTTTCTAAGTGCATGGATTAACACATCCAAGTTTATGCTGGGGGAGTAGCCAGACAACTTTCAACCCCTCTGCGTCTCTACCAGCTGGTTGAAGTTTCTGGCTGGCTGTGGGGTTTCTTTGAACCGCTAGCCAAGCTCCTTGCTCCTTGTACATTCAGCACAAAGCACCCAGGAGCTTGTTAGCCACAGCCCGGGAAAGCTAATGGCAGGCGAACAGAGAAAGAGACGCACGCCCCGTGCTCACTGATCCCACAGATGCACTGCCACAGGTGCTTCGCTGTCATGTCGGCGTCATTTATGATATGTGAGTTAGATTGGGGAAAAGGGAGCATAAAAAAAGAAAAGGGGGGTTCTGTCAGAAGCTTTTGCAGATGTGTATCCAAATTCCCCGGCAGCATTCGAGTAGCTTGGCACTTTGAGGTCTTTGATGCTCCCTCCAGGCAGCTACCCCGTCTCTCTCGTCCTTCTCTCTCTTCCATATTCATATGCATCTTCATAACCACAATCATTTCTGCTCAAACTGTTTTGCCCATTTCTATGTCTTCTCCCGCTGCCCCCTTTAATCTTGTTCTTGTACTCTGTCAACTTCCCCCTCTTCCTCCTTTTCCCTCGCCTCTCTGTCCTTCTCCTTTTCTTTCTCGGCTCCTCCCTTCCTCCCTCCCCGTCTCACTGAGAAGCTAAAAGGCAGCTCCTCAGCATGCATACCGTCGCCTCCCAGGCCTCACAGCACATTGACCTTCACAACTTTATCTTGGTTTTTTTGGGAACGAAAAAACAATCTGGCAGATGGCCGGCGCCCCTCAAACACAGGAGGCATTTTAAAATGAAAAGCTTGTTAGAGGGATACTTCCTTGGTAGACACACTACACTGTATAAGCATGACTTAACATATCCAAAGTCACTCGATCATTGCTTCCATTTTTCTTTTTCTTTTTTTTTTTTCTCGTGCAGCCCTGATAGTCCCCTGTCTCTATTAAGATCAGTAATAAGGGCCTCAGGCCAGGGATTAGAGGCAGAGTTGATTTAATTAATGAAGCAATCAAAGAGAATCGAGTTGTTCAGGTGAAACACAAATCTTGACTGTCAGGAGATTTACCGACTCACTAAACTAAAGCACTGGAGAGGCAGTTGAACGGGAGCATCATCATATATCTCACATATTTCATCATTATTACCTCTGCAGCTTATAGACTTCACTTTCAATACCACTGCTACAGTATTCATCTCTTTTCTTTTCAGACTATATGTGTGATATTGATCGATTGCAATTGGCACTGTAGCTTGGCTTAGAGACTATCTCTCGAGAGAGAGAGAGTAAAAACTTTTAGGGGGAGATCCAGCCCTCCCAATTGAGAGAGCCCCTACAGCTACTCCAGCTCAGGCCATTAGCTGTGTGCTTAATTGCCCAGTGGATGTGCAATTTTAATACAGATTTAAGAGCAGTAAATTCTCAAAGTTTGGGGCAAAGACAGAAAAAAAGTAGGGGGGAGTTTAAAGCTGCTTAAATCATGTCTTCATGGTTGCTTCAGGCTCTGAAAAAAATTTACACTTCTTTTTTTTTTCCATCTTAACTTTCACAGTTTTCTTTATAGAGTGAACTTATTATACTGTAGTCATTAATAAAGATTTTATATTTTTCCTCAGATCAGACAATGCTAGCCACTTGACAAATAACAGGAGATATTCCAAATGTAGCAACAAATGTGCAATTGGAAAATCAACAATACGAAAGCCAGTGTTTCTTTACAAAAAAACACATATTTTGTGCATCCTGTTCAAAGGAATAGTTCAACATCTTGGGGAAATATTGTATACTTCTTTTTTTTTTTGAGTTAGATACCACTGTCATGTCTGTGCATTAAGCATAGAGCTACAGCCAGCAGGCGATTTGCTCCGCTTACTATAGAGAAAACAGGGGGAAAACAACTGTTAAGATATACACCTGTGGTCACACAAACACAAAGATAAAAACAACAACAACCTTGTGGAATGTTTTTCTCTTATTTTAGATGAAAAGACTTAATCTTTTCATCGTTTCTGTGCATTAAGTAGGTGACTAGCCTAGCTTAAATGGCTACTAGTAGCAGGATGAAACAGCTAGCCTGGCTCTCTCCAAAGTTGAAATATGCATTTACCAGCACCTCTAAAACTCACTAATGAACACATTATATCTC